TACGCTGAAATAAAATGTTTTTATTTCATTATCGGCTCCTGTTCATTCGATGGGTTTGCAAAACAAGGGATAATAAAAGTCTGGCCTTACAGATACAAAACTATTAACCAACCCATATAGCCATACAAATCTTCTATCCATCACCACAATCCACTAGGAAAGCAGTACCTTAGACTACACACAAGAACAATTAATCTCATCTGTTGACTAGTTGCACTCTTAGCAAATTGAGAACTAGGTTCAAGTTTAGCGAAGATCACACATTCTATGGTGAATTCTGCATATTCCCTGGGTTTTAGTTCATTTGAAAGGATATTTCAGTGATATGTACCGGTAGTTGGTTTTAAATTCACTGGCCAACAAGGGGAAAATCATAGTTTTATTCACTCTGTTTAAAGTTAGCAATCAGTAGAAATACAAGCAAGGTAATAATAAGACCCTATACAGCCATCAGGATTTGCCAAATTCAACTGATAAGACTTGCTTGTTTAAAGCTTTTCAATTGTAATCTCAGTGTAAAATTTGTTACACATTTCAAGTCCAAAAACACTGAACCTATACACTCCTGAGTTCCCAGAAGACAACTTTGCATAGCAAACACATGAAACTAGTTATGACTGGTAAAAACCCTTTCCATACAGCAAGTTGTGTGTGGAATATAATTCTAAAGTCTAGCAAGAGAGGCTAGAAAGTGAAGGCACTATGTTACTTGAAAATCAGTAAGTAAATCATGATTTTTCCCTGAATTTATCCCATGTTGGATACTTGTATAAAATGAATTATTCAAGACTATTATTGGACTACTTTACATGGAAACATGTACACAAGTGATTCAGTCAAAATTGTTATAGAATTGGTTTCCTGAGAAAAGCCATACATAGCAAACACTATTCTATCCATCAACCAAAGAAAATAAGATAACTGGTATTTGCATATTTTTTTATATTTGGAATTGGTTTCTAATATAGAGAAATGTGGATGAAAATGTAATCTATAATAATGATTGGTTGGCTACGACCATTTTTACACTAACAAACATAGGTACATACAATGTAGGAATTGAATTCACCAGTATGAAATGTCAACAATCTTAACATGACCAGATACGATTATTCTGCCTTTTAATTTTGAAAAAAAAATATAATCATGACATTGAAAATCAATACATGGCATGGTTTCATCTCTGGCAGAAATCTACTGTTCTAAGTGCATAGTAAATGATATGCCCAGAACACCATATTTGTCAGTCATCCAGAATATCAAAAGCAAACAGTTTTTTAGCTAGCTTTCAATAAATTTATTTGGTCCTTCGACTCGGCATTGCATACTCTAAACTGATTCGATACTGTCCAGTTTTTTTGTATATTCTCATACAAAATATGTAACTGATGTGAAGATGTGAAGAAATTTGGCGATGTAATCTTTATTTGATATAGAATTAATATAAGGTTATTACGAGGATACAGCAAAGTATGCACAAAGACAGAGTATTAATCGGCGAGCAGTGGAAGGTCGATGCAACTGCGTACTGAGTGCATACTTTGCAGTGTCCTCCTTGTAATAACCTTATTATTATACATCTTTTTTAACAAACTTCTTTGTGTGTGGTCCGGCCAAACCCTAGAGGCAGCCATATTACACAAGTAATTCTTCCATATTTGGAATTTGCGTTTCCTAATATGGTAGGATGAAAATACCCAGTGCAATACCACAAAATTACGACACGCTGTAACTTATGGTGACATGTATAATAATAGCACTTATCAACTAATGGAAAGGGGGGTGTAGTTAGCAACCGATATTCTAAAATACAGGCAAGGTTCTCACACTGTCATTGTCTTTGAAGGAGTATTCATCCCACTGTCTTGCAGATTCAAGTCTCCTTCTGGCAGTGGCACCTCTTGGTGATGTTCTAAGTCTGGATATAGGTGTAGGTATGGACATGCTTCTTGTTCGCCGTCGTCCTGTACCCCTAAACCAGGAGGGATATAATATTTCTGTGGAATAGTGGGGTCTTTTGCTTATGGTAAAACGCTGGCCTGAACTATGTAGGAAAGTCGGGGATCTTGGATGCTGTGGGAAACTAGGAGGTGCAGAAGTTGATGCCCTTGCTAATAATTCTCTGTATATTTTGGGTGTACGTGGTGAATAAGTCCGTCTTGATGGGGTTGATGGAGATGGTGGCAGACGGTTAGTTTTGCTCATAGGAGATTTAAAACAGTTCCTGTTCATGTGTTGGTCCTTAGAAAATATCTGTCTGACGCATGTCCTTGGCAGTTGAGAATTGAGTGCATTGTCATCAGTTTTCAATTGTAGAGGACTTGGCCTTTGTGGAGTATTCCTAAGATTTTGAAAAGGTTTCCCATAATTACACCTATCCTCTTCAGATTTCCAAGGACTAGAGTTTTTCACTAAAGGAAAATCAACTTCACTTTCACTGTCATCAGGCTCAGGGACATCAGCTTGAGATGGGCTGTTTTCATTTGCAATTAACTGGTTTCGCTTCTTTCCACCTTTTCTCTTCTTTGGAGTACTTACAAACACTTTTGTTCTTTGCCAAATCGGAGATTCTGATGGGCGTTTTCTCATCGTCCGCGTAGGCGAGTCAATGAGAGCTGCATAATCCTCCTTATTGTGCTTACCCTTTTTAAAAACTGGAGAGTCTGACTGCAACTGGTTTGCATTTTTAACACCAGCTTTAAATACAGGAGAAGAAGGAGGGCTAAACTGAGATGATGAATTCAGTGCAGTTGAATCATTTTGATTGCTATGCAGAAAATTATTTGTATTGTTTGTGCAATTCGATTTGTGATCAGTGTTCACAACACAACGCCCCTGAGAGTTTTTCACAAGACTCCTAATTGCTGTGGAATGGTTTTGAGTTGGAGAAGTTTTCTGATTTTCTATCTGCTTGTCCTTTTTCATTTGTTCAATAGCAGACTCATGACTTTTCTGGCTTTCTAAAAGCTGCTGTCTTTTCTCTCTAATACTTGACATAAAAGACGATGAGACGCTAAATGGCCGTTTAGCTAAACATGGCGATTCACTAAATTTATCGAACACTGAATGTTCCTCAGAGCTCCACTCCAATGTCTTTGACGGTGCACTGCTCAAACTTTCTTGTCTGCTCACAATTTTTCTTCTGGTGATCTTTTGAGGCACAGCGAAGCAATCACTCTTGTGTTGTTTCTCAGGTTTTTTAACTTGATGATCAACACTACTGACTTTCATACTGTCCTCATCAGTCAATATTTTTAAAGACGCATTGGAGACTTGCTTTTCCAGGAATCCAGACAGACTCTTTTCCCACTCTGATGCACCTGAACGAAATGAAGCTATCTCAATATTCATGTCAGCCGAATCATTCACAAATACATCACTGTCACCTTCATCAATGGGATCCGGTTCTGACGGAAACACAACAACGTCAAAGGCACTCATCATTGTTTTTAACTCTTCTAGATGTTTTCTAGTCCTTTCAATATCACTATTTGTAAATCCAGCAAAATCTTCAATGCTAAGATCACTGGAGTAAATGCGGCTTATAGAAGGTTGCCTAGGGGGAGTGCCTGCATATGACTGGATACGTCTTATAGCAGGAGACTGAACTTTCTCTGGAGTTCTCATACTAGCTAACCTTGCACTATCTGTTTTAACCGGTGTCTTTTCTAGACTTTTGCCTACTTCTAACTGATTTGTTTCAACTGTTGGGGACGAATGCCCTAAGACATCAGCGATATTGTTTTGTCCTTTGCATTCAAACTTATTCTCTAGTCTTTTGCCATGTCCATTAGTCTCAGACTTTGACCTTTTTGGAGTTAAGGTCAAAATGTCTTCATCAACAGTTGTTTTCGCATTGTTTGTGGTTTTTATTTTGGTTAGTGAAGAGACCTTTCTCTTTTCACCACAAACTGATTTCTTTTCGTTACATGAGATTCTTGATTCTGATATTGCACATGTTTCGTTCTGAACATGACTTATTTCCACAATTTCACCACCACAACTCTTAAAGTCTTTAGTTAGTGACTCAGGTTTGCCTACTACAGTTTTTCTATTCCCCTTTGGAACATTCAAAGCACAAATTATTAAATTCCCAACAGTGGGTTCCTTGTTAACCTTTATTGTCTTTTTAGCCATTGAAGTACCCTTTGATTTTGGTGTTGACTTTTGTTCTTTCTTACTGGATGCAGATGGTGTCCTTATTAATTTTGGAGTTGATTGTTGATGTTTAGTAGTTAAAGCCTTAGTTGCCTTTCCTTTAACTTTTGATGCTGAGCATGGTAACTTTTTAGCCACTGTGGTTAGACCTTTCACTTTTGGAGTTTCTATGATTTGTTTACCATCAAGTCGAGATTGGTTTTTAGTGACAGGTGAATACTGAGCACTTGGATCCTCTTGCCTCAGGGTGGCAGGAACTCGGGTGTTGATAGTTTTCTTTTTCTTGCCTTCAGCAGATATTTTCAGTTCATCCTCTTCAAAATCTCTAATACTGTTGGAAGAAGAAAAAGAGTATGCACTATCATCAATAGTCTATATAAAAAATCCAATGGATGGCAGTTGAACTTGTATATTGAACAGACTGAATCTTAATTTTGAGTTTTGCAAATAAATTGCACACTATGTTTTTGTTTACTAAAAATCTGTATAGAACACTAAACACGGTATACTTGACAGTTCCAGGAGGCTAATCAGTGGTTTTTCTCAGAGCATTAGAGATCCACAAATATTACCATAACAATAAATACGTGAATACTGTAAGTACATTAATTATTCGCTAGGTTTATAATTTTGCTATATTCTTTGATAAGTTAAATTTGCTAAAGTAAATTCATATGACTTGTAGATTAACAATAGAACGCATAGTTTCCCATCAAAGTTATCAACTTAAAACCCCTGTGCAATTGCTCAAAACATCAAATAGTGAAATTAAACGCTTGCCTTCTTGGAATTCTCTATTTTCAGAATGTGATGATATTGATGACCTATCAAAATATAGAATACTCACTTATCTAAATAATTCTTGGATTCATTGTGGTACTTCAACACATCATTCAAGAATCTCTCCATATTAGGACCTTCTGATACCATAGCATCTAAACTAGTATAGTGTTTTGTTTGATTTACAAAAGCTGTATGTGTATCACTTCGTAAGTGCTGCAATGAAAACAATCAACTATGTCATAAAAAAGAAAAGCTATGTTGGTTAATTATAAAAATACAGGATATGATAAACTAATAAATGAGTATGATCGTACTGACAGTAT